GCCCGTGTTTCAGCCCTGCCCGTGTTTCTTCTCGGCAATAAAAACCTGGGCACAAGAGAGAAAAACACAGTTGTGTTTCTCCTGTCTGTGTTTCTTCCCCGGTTCTTGTTCCACTGTCTTTGACGCTTCGTTTCTCCCTCATCCGAACTCTGAATCACTTGCCGTTTAATTCTAGATGCTCGTATTATCATACTTTTTATTTTCATGACAAGATTACATGATTATTTTTCCATAAGATGAGGTAGAAATCCATTCTTCTTCAGGTCATGCCCGAGCTTCTTCTCCCGAATAGCCAATTGATCTCCGATTGACTTGAAACTTGCGCCTATGCTTCACTTTACGTGCTAGGACCTGAAATATGACAAAGGAACACAACCTAGCGTAAAATAGGCCAAGAAAGCAGAAAATCAATAAAAAACAATCAAGAAACGAGGGTGCAAACTTGTGCAAATATGATGCTATCATATGGCATGCACAAGCTCGTGTCACCTTCTCTTCTAGTGTCAAACCGGGAGGAGGGAGGTGTTGGAAATCCATGTCGGAGCTCGTTCTTCCAAAATTCTCATGGCTCGCCTCTTTGGCTTTCTCTCTTTCTTCCAATGGTAGGAAGCGATTGTGAGCAAGTTATGCACATGCTTTCTCAACAAGCCCTCCTAGCCTCTTGTGTGTCGAAGGAGCTCCTTCGATTCCTGTAGAAAGGTTGAGTCGAAAGGGTCGGCAATTGGGAGGTCCATGCTAGAGCACCCTTCATCGGTGCCCCGAGAAAATCGCACCACCATGATCTCTAATTTGCTCTTTGGCTTCGGTTTTGGAGTGGCACATAGTCTTGAGGTTTGTCCCATGAAAGCCTCCATGGCCAACTCCAACTTGGATTTCACCTCGAGTTGTGGAGGCAAACCCTCTTGATATGGGGAAGCTTCTTCGTATCCCCATGATCATGGTTGCTCTTCTTGGAAGGGAGGTTTGTAGTAGAACCCGAATCCTTGACTTCCCCCACCTTGATCGTCCCATGAAGTTCCGGGGTAACCACTCTCGGGTGGTGGTAGATACCCCCACACTTGGGGGTATCCATGATCCAATACCTACAAACACAAAAACACTAAAAAGGAAAATCAAACACACACAAACGACCCTTCAAGTGAAGAGTAGTTTAGTAAACGCAAAACGATAAAACACAAAATGAAACAAAAGCCAATATAGAAAATGCTAGAGTAACACTAAGCGACTTTTTCAAAATAATGGACCATTTTTCCTCGGCAACGATGCCAAAAAGTCGACACGCACAGACTACACCGTGATTTAAATCTCGACTAGAGGTCAAGCATAAACTCTAGCAGGGCGTAGTATAGGGCAAGTATGTTTTAATTGTCAAACCCCGGCCGGTCCATGTACCCCTACTTCAATCGCTTAAGTTGTTATCTACCAAACGGTTTTGGGTTGAAAACTAAGAAAACTACAAAATACACAAACAAGGAAAGTAAATCGAGAAGAATTCTATATGAGAGAACTTCACTTGGGTATTGCTTCCCCTAGTCTCGTGCTAAGAAACAATGAAAGAAACCCTAGTGTGGAGGACGTGTTCATATACCGTGAGACGGGTGCAACTAGCTAGGAACAAGCTCTCCTATTCTATCCATCAAGCATTGCCACAATAAGCTAGCGAACCTAGCTCACTTGATCGAACAAACCGAGGAAACACTTACTCTCTTAGTGACCAATCTAGGATTGTTGCATCAAGTTACTGGTCTAACTCTCTTAACCTTTCGGTTAAGGATTGCAACTCTAGGCTAGACGATCTAGCCCCTCTAAATCAGTCGACTAAGGATTGCAAACCAGTCCCTCGAAACTTAATCCGGACGGTGGAGAGAATCCAATCATGGTGGGATAATGGTACTACTCCGATACTTGAGGTTTTGCTCCTAGATTAACCTAACAATGATATAATGCAAACAACACTCACTAATCACGATTAATTTAAGTTTTGTCCTAATTTGCCTAGGTGTGTGACACAAATTGGCCAAGAATCCAACTTCTCAAAGCCTCTTTCAACAAGGAGATTCTCTCCACCTAGTTCAAAATGACCCAATCATGAGTTAAAGCTAGCACACTCAATCATTCTTGAAAAAATACCTCAAATATTATATAAATATTCAATCAACACAATAGAATCAAGTTCTTACATCCTAACACACATCTAGACTAGGATTCACAATACCCAAGTGAGTAGGGAGGCTATTACATAGCTAGGCAAGGGAAAACAAAAAAAAAGGAGAGAATGAACCATGAAGAGATGCCAATCTTCTTTCCATGTTGCTTGAATCTATCTTGAGAGGTAAGAATCTTCACTCCTTTAGGTTAGGACAATCCCAAATCTCATTCTTCCTCCTTTGAATGGCACTTTCTCTCTCTAGAATAGGAAGAGGAAACCCTAATATCTTACTAGAAACCCTCCTTTATTCTGAAAACTAAAAACCTAAAAAAAACTTTTTCTCTCTCCCAGCAACCTTCTATTTATAGAGCTCGATAGCCACTTTTCACAGTCAGAAGTCACGGCTATGACATTGGAGCCCTGACCGTGACATTGGACCAAAATCCAGGACTCTCGCGTCGTTTTGGTCCACATCACGGCCTGGGGATGATTTTCATGGTCAACAGACCGTGAACACACCGAGGTCCAGTGAGGTGTGCAAAAACCTCCTGTTTCCATCACACTTCACGCCCACTGGGCAATTGTCACGGTGAGCTAGACCGTGACAATCGGCTTTTATTCACTTTTTGATGCTTTTCGACTCCAATCATCATCCCGAACCTCGCCCTTGACCCTTCCACACATGCTAGGACCTGAAATATGACAAAACAAGCACAACCTAGCATAAAATAGGTCGAGAGATGATGAAATGCAAAGTCAAACTATCAAGAAATGATGGGTAAAATGTGTACAATTGGACCCGAATCAGGAAGCTAAGTGGAAAATAGTTCATTGTTGGCTCAATGCTTCTATGGATTGGCTAGGAAAGTGGTTGCCTGATGTTTAATGCCTTGGAGGCTATATAGTTGCATGAGCGATGGAGAGCACAAAGAAGTGAAGCTCTCGGTTCATTTGGTTGACCTTGAGTTGGAGGATGCAGACTCGGTTAAGCCTAGTCCCGGTGATATGGATTACTTCATGGTAGCAAAGTCACTGGAGGTCGAAGTTGTTGACGCTAGAAGTCTGTTTCAAGTACCGGAGCGCAATTGGAGGCGGAGGAAGCGCAAGCAACTACCAAACCATCATCAAGAGGAATCGAAGTGCAAAGCTGACATTAACTACAACCTTGAGGACAAAGTCGCTTTTAAGGGGAGGGAATTGTTAGAAACAAATGGGTTTAGGGTTCAGCCTATTACTTCTATTATTCAATAAGTATAATTACTATTAGTAGTAGAGAAATTCGGCTAAGATGGGCCGAATGGGTTAGGGTTAATCTTAGGGTTTGTGGTGTCTTTCTATTATATATGTGTACATTGGGTTTATGTCAGGATTCATCAGAAATATATTATCGAAGTATCTCTCTCAAAACCATAATATATCTTCCCAATCTCAATCCCTAATTCTATTCAAAATCCTAAAGAACCGTAGTTCTAACATAATGAGAATCGTGGTTCAATAGTGAAACACTTTTAGTACCAAAGATCATACCATTATAGTATTTGATCTATTTTCTTTAGTTTTTATAAAATTTATGGACCAATGACTAGATCACATTGCATTTGGTTCGATATGGTTCGATCCAAATCTTAGTTTAGTTCAGTATAATCCAGTACAAACTAAATTATTGTACACCTTTGTATACACATATAGTGTTAGCACTTAGCACCCTATTCTCATTTCATAACCTATCCCTTGCCACATATGTGCATGTTCCATTTCGTTTTATCCTAACTAATGCACCCATCTATATTTATTGTCCGTTCTAATCTATGCTTCGGGCCCAATGGGCTTATACGAGCCTTTGTCCTGGCTGCTGGACAGGTCTGGTGGGGCAGCAGGGGGCAGGGGGCAGGGGCCTTTAACAGTTGTTTGTCTGTGGAAAATTGCTCATAGAGGTTTAGTACTTGACACTTGAGCATTAGCGACAGTTTGGGGCTTGTTGCACTGGTTTCACCTTAAGGATGGCTGGACGTGTGTTAGATTTGCAATGAAGTCTTTTTATTTTATAGGGTTGCGGCTCCTGATTTATTGATGGCAATTTCAACCCACCCCGCGGGTATTACCCGACCTGACCCGCGATGAGGCGGGTATTACTCGACCCGCAGTAGCGTGGGGCGGGGCATGGGTATCTACTTCTGACCCGCTCTGCCCCGCCCTGCCCCGTTCTAGACTCATTTTATCTCAATTTCTTACAATATCTATACAAGTTTCTCCTATTTTGACTTTTCTTCAACTAGTTAGAGTTGATCTTTCAACTTGTTAGCCTCAATTGTCCATTCTATTATCAATATTTTTCATTCTTAAAGTGTTTTTCCCTTCGTTTTATTGTAAAAAGTAAAATTTACTTATATGTTTTCTTTGAACAACATTTAAGAGTGGGTCGACCCGCCCCACCCCGTACCCGCGTGGGTTTTACCCGCCCGACCCGTAGTAGCGTGGGCGGGACATGGGAATTGAGGTACCCGCCCCGCCCCATTGCCATCACTATCCTGATTGTTGCTTCTCTGCTTTCACTTTTATTTGTATTATCATTGTTGCCCAAAAGGATTCCTGTTATCTTGCCAAAAAAAAAAAAAGGATTCCTGTTATGGAAAATCTTTAACGCAAAGAAAAAACCGGGAGAAGTTTTGTGTCGTTAGCAGAAGTAAAATCCAATATTTTGTATTAGAACAATGGTGAGTAAAGAATTTTTGAAAAGAACAAGCATCATCATCTTTCATGGAACACCCAGAATCCAATCGCAACCCGAATCCCCAAAATATAGAAAATTATAAGAAACAAAAACGAAATCCTCCAAACCCAAGAAAATCAATCATGAAGCCGTGAGATTCCCATACTTGGCCTTGTAATCTTTCCAAACATCCGCCACATCCTTGCCAAGCAGCTGCGCGAAGAAGCCATTGCTGTAAGTGTCCTTCATCATGGAATTGATCTCCGCCACAAAGCTCCCGTTCCTCAACCCATCGCAGTACTCCAGGAACCTGGCCGTAACGTCGTCCCCTTGGTCCCACTTCTCCCCTTCCCCGGCCTCCGCCCACTTAGAAGAAGAACTAGTACTAGTTTGGTTATTCTTGGGCTCGTACCCGGCTTTCGCCCTGACGTAGCCGCCGATCCCCGAAAGCAGCCCCGCCGGGGCCGTGCTGTTGCCGTTCCAACCCCACACCGACGCCATCTGGGCGTACACCAGTCCGGCGAACTCCCTGCGCAGGTCGTCGTCGTTGGAGGAGGTGAGGTTGGCGAGGTAGTCGGCGTCGATGTAGATCTGGGCGGCCTGGTAGTCGTGGTAGGCGATCCCCTGGACGTCGGAGTCGATGAAGAGGCTGACCTGCGGCAGGGATCGGCGGTCGGCGGAGGCGTTCTGTTGGAAGGTCTGCCAGGAGAAGTCGGAGGCGGCGGACATGGTGGTGGTGGTGAAATTGAGGCCGATTTGGGTGTCGAAGAGGATCCCGCCTTTGGTCCCGGGAGCCATGTTGATGACTGGGTATGTCACTGCTTCCACATTGGACACTTGCGCTGCTGCGGCGAATAAGGCTAGCGTCGGCACCAGGAAGAAGAGAGCGGCGGCGGCGGCCATGGGTGATGAGTTTCTTGTTTTCGTTTTCTTTTTATCCGGCGGTGTGCGTTGTGGGAGATGGGATGGTACCGTGGGGAGGTTCGCATTTATATGTGCTATCGTTTTGGAATGGAGAGCGTGGCCAAAACAGAGCATTGTTTGTGTTTTAATGCTGGCTGGACATTGACGTACATTGTGTGCTTCTTACTTGTGTGTCTCAAAATCCAGAATGGACAAAATCGCGAGAGGGGTTAAATTCCTGGATATCGCAGTTAGTGTGGGTTTGGCAACTTCAAATCTCCCATTTTAAACTAGCAGAGGAATTCTTATTTTTCGCCCCTACATCCATCCTATCCTCCGTTTCACTGATTTAAGATGCAAACAAAAGGTGACCAAAATGGTGCCGGCGGCGCCTTTAAAAGAGAGGGGAGAGGAAAAGTTGAAATAGGGGGTCGAATAGGGTTAATTGCACTATATATACGCCTAAGTATTGATTTTGTAGCACACTAACTACTTAAATTTTTTTTGTTGTAACTAAACCACATAAATCGACTTCTGGTTGCACCATTATATTTTTCATTGTTAAACTTAACGAAAGATATTAAATTGAAATTTTCCGCCTCAATTTGCTCTATGCATAATTATCCTATGCCTCCCATTGTTTTTTTCCTTCAATATTTATAATTATTATAGTTTTTACTTTCTAGATCTAATTGAATTGAATTTTGGCTTCCTTAAAAGCAATTATATTTTCTAGACTTAATCTCGATTAGATTTTTTTGGGTTTATGATATGTTTTGCGTTGTTGGTGCCTTTATACAAACTCAAGCAAAGTAAATAGAAGTTACAGAAAAGAACAAAAATTGTTTGTTCCTTTACCATTATCATATTAATAATGTAGTGATAGTTCTAACAATTTTCAAATTTGCCTCTCAATCAGACTAGTATTTTGTTGTTGACTTATTTTTAAAAAGTCCATTTTTCAATTACCTCCAACTCTTATTTGGATGCAGATGTTGTATAAGTACCAGGGGATTTTTCATGAAATAGCACCATTTAAAAAAGATTTACAAAAATAGCACTCAGCCCACACAAATTTCAAAAATAGTACATTTCTTTCAAAACCGCACATCGGCTGTGCGGTTTACATGTAAATTGCATCCCGAGGGAGCAGTTTGCTTTTATGGGCCAAAACCGCAGTATGGTGGAGCGGTTCGTAGGCTGACCTAACAGAACCGCATCTTGGCCATGCGGTTCGTAGGATGACCTAGCAGAACCGCTTGTTGAGGTTGCGGTTCTGTTTCTCCAACACAAACCGCAACCTCAAGCATCGGTTTTGCCCTTGCCCGACACACAAACCGCACCCCCTCCCCTGCGGTTTGTGTGTCGTCCCCATTTTCCCGACATCTAGCATGTTGGCCTTGCAGGTTGACAGACGTGGGGCTGCATGGCAGATGAAAACCGCTCCCTACCCTTGCGGTTTTCAGTGATGATTTTGCCTACAAAAGGCAGCCCCGGGAAACCTCTTCTCTTCACACCTCTTCTTCTTCTTCTTCTTCTTCTTCTTCTTCTTCTTCTTCTTCTTCTTCTTCTTCTTCTTCTTCTTCTTCTTCTTCAATTTTCTGTTGTAGCACCCTACTTTTTTATTGTTTTTGCCATTAACGTTAACTCGTAAGTTTATTTTGTATTACTTTTATTGTGTTTGTGATTTTTATAATATTAACTGAATTACGGTTTTATTGCAGATGACATTCCAATAGTTCACGCTTGGGTTACAGTGGAATGGTTACACGGAAGAAGCTGGAAAGGGGGTCACCTACGTCGGTGGCAATTTTCAGAAAATAAAGGTCACTACCAGACCAATGCTTGAAGACCTCCATCAAATATGTACTGATGTTACTTGCATGGATGGCATGAGAAGAGTTGATCGTATGGTGTACCAATATTCAAACAGAGAAGGCGGGTCGTTGTGGCATGAGGAATATCTCATAACCACTCAGGATGAAGTCGATGCCATGCTCGAATTCTTGAAGTCAAATAATCTTTCCAAAGCCGAGATGTTCGTTTACACCGAGGTGGTCGAAGGTGTTGGAGGTCATTCTGGAGACGGTCAAACATCTAGTATCCATGGTGGAGGTGAATTATATGGAGATCATCCCTACCAAAGTTACCATGATCCTCATTCCTACTTTCAGTACCAAGAGTAAGGTGAAGGTCATCATCAATCTTTCCCATCATATGAAGAAGTCCAATGGGGGACCATGCCAACCAACCCGAGTACAACTTCCATTCAGACAGCGATAGTTTTCACAACTACCATTAAGGAGCTGATAAAGGTGCCTTTCATGAACTGGATCAGATGCCCTGCCAGCACCAGTTAGTGACCCCCTCCGATGAAGAAGAAAGGGAGCAATATCAATGTAGACAGCTCCGACCCACTTGAAGGGGTTGATGATTCAGGCCCAGAGTCCGAGTCAGATGATGATGAGGTGTCTCGTGACTGTATACCTATCTCGTACTACAATCACATTCCAGATGACAATTGGTGTGTCGACACCGACATGGAGCATCCAGAGGTCCCAATATGGGGTCCACTCACTAGGTTTATGAAGGGCCAACAATTTGGTTCGGAGAAGGAGGTGCGGCACGCCATTGAAACTGAAGCAATGACTCGAGATTTTGAATGACACACAACTCATTCCAACACGAAGAGGCTCATAGTCAGATGTCGTAATCAATAAGAGGGATGTCATGCTAGGATTCGGGCCATCAACAGTAAGAGACAAGGCTATAGGGTCATATCCCGTGCGGTGAACACACACACATGTGTGTCATCCATAACATCCCAAGGCCATCGACATTTGAAATCCAGGGTGGTGGTCGCGGTTATCAGGCATCTAATTGAGCAAGATCCTGATCTGAAGGTGAAAGTCATAATTGCTGACATTACAAGTCGTTATGGTTATATTATTAACTATAAGAAGGCGTGACATGGAAAGCAGAAAGCTCTGGTCGCCGTTTTTGGTGATTGAGAAGAATCATATGAATTCCTTCCCAGGTTGATTTTGGCATTGGAGGCATCAAACCCTGGCACTGTTTTCTCCCCTCGATATCAAGATGAAGAGACAGTCGCCAGAGCCCGGTGACAAACGCCATTTCAAACGTCTCTTTTAGGCATACAAGCCATCTATTGATGGTTTTGGCTTCTGTGACCCTGTGATCCAAGTGGATGGTACATTCGGCCTGATCTCGGGCACGTTCGATCTTTCCCGAGTCTTCTTGTTTTTCCTTCCTCCTCCTCTTCCGCATCATCCTCCTCTCCGTCAACATCGTCATGATCAGATGGCATGCTCCATGTATCTTCTTCCTCTCCATCCCGATTCTCACTAAGCTCAGCATGTATCTCAGCACCCAAAGAATAAGGTTTTCGTTCCATAAAATCGAAAAGCATATTCAAACTATCATCATCCACAATAGGCATCGAATAATGAAATAAAACACCATTCTGCCATTCTGGAAGACGGTAAGTGAAACCTATGATAACATCACTTTCTTGTACTGCTTCGTCTCTACACCGTATTCTCGGAATTAGATTCTCACAAAGTTTGTGATATGTCACCCTGGATGGAACCGTCAACTGAAAACTACTACCACCAACGAATTCGACGCCAAAATTATCCTCTACTTTCTCCAATTTCCACCGAACGACTAGTTCAAATCTTCTAAAATCACTAAAAAAAACAAACTCACTAATTAACTAAAGACAATCATAATAGCATTTGAATAATATAATTAAAAAAAATAAATGTGTCTCTTACCTATTAGCCATTTTTGCAGCAGCAACCAGAGCTTCTCCTCCTCAAACTTCGTTGATTTTCTTTGTGGTAAACAACTGAAATGAAATTCGTTGGTTTTATAGGGGGTAGCCAGCGCCCAGCAATACGCCAGCGGATCCGTCAAAGTCCTGGGCGCCATCGCCAGGTACAATTTCCCACAACACAGCCTCAGTCTCAGGCGGTACTGAGGCAGTCTTTGGCGCCGCCGCTGTAAAATTTAATTAAATGATCCAAAAAAACAGAACCGGTGGCGGCGCCTGAGCCTCAGGTAGTCTCGCTGGTTTTGCTCTCCAAAACACAATATCTGTGTCAATACTTCACAATCCATTAACGCATTATTGAAGCCCATTAATCATGCTTCACTTACTAGGTTCCCTCCTTTAATCCGCCTTATTTGTGGTAAATTAAAAAAAAACAATATTTATGTAATTAACCCAATATTTTCCCCATTATTCTATACCCTGTTGTCCATCTTCCCCAAAAGCTGCTGCTCATCTTTCCCAAAAGCCACGTTTGAGTTCTACTCTGCACCCGCAAGCCGCAATGCCGCCTAACAAACCAACAAAACAAAGCAATAGAGGGAATCTTGATTATGGTAATTACTTAGTGGAATTCTATTTTCTTATGGTTTTGGTGTGGGGTACCGGAAGTCAGAGGAGCACTGCTGAGGCCGGCTCCACAGCCTATGTATCTGTGAATATATTTGTTCACTTTCCAAGGTACTGCCTAGTCTAGAAGATGGGGTTATTTATTTGGGATTGGAGGGGGTTCTGCTGCCTCTAGGGAGAAGTAGATAGAGAAAGAAACAGAACGAAAAATGAAAGCGAATGGAGTTTTTCCATGGAGTGTGCCATATGGACCACTTTTAATCTTCTCTATGCCTTGTTTTTTATCTTCTTGCATATTTGTCTCTACTAACAACAAGAAAAGGAGAAGCTAAAGATAGAAATGTGTGTATGGGATTGAAAAAGTAGACACTTAGCAGGAGGGTGGGATTGCCATGGACCACTTTTAATCTTTTCAATGTTATGTTGTTTTGTCTTCTTGTGTATTTTTGTCTCTAGTAATAACAAGCAAACT